ATTGGATTGAACGGTCATTTAACGCCTTCCCCCCCCCCTAAGGACCTCTGCGACGAGGTGATGCACTCATTCTGTTATTCATACATGGATTACTTTGCTTGATCCAGAACGCCTCAAGGGTTTTTCGGGCACCAACATCGTTTCGTAGGCCAGTATTTTGTATTCAACGCTAAAATCATGGTGTTCTCTTCTATGCCTGCCAAGCGGTGCAATCAAACTTTCCCTTCGTTTGCTTGCTAGATGTTCTTCCAGGCGTGTCCCTAACTGTCTCCCAGTTTCACCAATATATAGTGCATCACACGTTAAGGATGATTCGGTAGACTACAGCCCTTTGTGTACAGTCCCCAACTTTCCCATACGGACAGATCACGCAGTTCTCCGTGGTGCATATTCGGTCATAAGAGGCGATTTCTGACCAAGTTGGTGTTTGATATTTTCTCTTGGTGTGTTTACCAAAAAAGAACATCGTTGGTCAAATCGGCTCTTCGGAGGCACTGTTGTATAACTGCGGTGAAGCGGTCCGATATGAACGGTAGCTGAAGATACAGCTTGTCTTCAGCTCTATGTGGGAAAGGTCTCGCTGTGTTTCGCGTACGCCGTTGCTGCCAGGCTGTGTATCCGTTAAGACTAGCTATCTGAGTGGCTAATCTCCTGGATTCTTCTCGCTCCTCGTTGCCGGTGCAACCCCATTGCAGTTTTGTACATGTTTCGTACCACTGCACGTTTAACCGCTCTGGGGTGAGCCGACATTGCGTGAATGATGATGTTCTTGGAGCTCTCCTTTCCTATACCATTTCACATTGTAGTGTCCATTGGTTACCTTTATCTGAGTGTTCAGATATGGTAACCAACCTTCGCGCGGAACTTCCCGAGTTAACTTGATGTACTGCGATTGGCTGTTGAGGATATCGAACAACTCGTCCATTTCGGACTGAGTAGAGGTGATAACGCAACAGTCATCGATGTAACGGCAGTACAAAATGGGTGAACGTGCCAGCACAGGACGTTCGATTCTGCTCATAAAGTAGACAGCGAGGACCGGTGCCAGCCGCTGTCCATCGCAAGTCTTCTAATCTGCGAGAAATATCTCCCTGACCACTTGAATATATTGCAGTTCAGACACTCTCTGATGAGAACCATTATCTGTGTTTTGCTCAGTCCAAACGTTACCATACTTTCTGCTGATGGTGATCCCTCTCTTTGCTAAGACTCATTTGTTGTAGGAGAGGCGTCGGTGTCTCGAGGGGAACTCGGTGCCCCGCGGCAAAGCTGGGGCCGTGCTCTCACGTGTACCCCCTTTCTCCAACCCTATTTCCCTTGGAACCCCACGCAGATGCGTTACTGTGTTAAGGAGGTCAAACTACCGTGGAACTAGTTTCCAGCACATCTGGTGATTTAGTGCATCTTGTTGCCGGCGCCTGTAGCGCGGGTACCACATGATTTCGCAGCCAAGTTGATGTGATATTCGATGATTTTAGTGGTCGAACTACTCCCATAAAGGACTCTTCGCCAAGTATGTCTTCTGAGAAAAGGGTCGGTAAATTGGACTGATTTTGGGATGTAATGAGCACTTAAGGGTAATTAGGGCCTAACTTTTTTCTTGTTACTGAGAAAAACTTACTTATTGCCTCCGACCTTTATCAGGGTGCGACTAATTCAGCGGTAGGCACTACAACCGTTTCATTGCTCTCTTCGTAATCAAATTCGAAGGAAGTCGTGTTTTGTTCATCATAGCTCGGCTGCGAACAAACCTTGGTTCATATACGGTCAATGCGGTCCCGCTACATGCGACGGCTACGTCTATACACAACGAGGCTGACAAGGCCATTTTTTTTTAGCCTTGGTCATAAGTGAACTTAAGTCGTACAACAAGGCGGGAAGCATGGGTGTCATTCCTGTTAGACTTGAATTGTCTTATTTTTAGACATCTCTTTCTACAAGACGATCTATCCAAAAGGGCTGACATCGAAAACCGGGTCAGCTTTGGATATTGCCCTGCTCTCTGAGGCCTTACAAAAAAAGATGTGAGTGGTTCATTTTTCCGTTGCAATAGTTCGTTCCCTTGCAATATTCGCCTGAAATACAGGCAGCAAAAAGCTCCCAACTATTGCCTTAATTGGCTTTTCAGGGATTCCGATCGAGGTGGTCGTCTGTGGCGAAGCACCTCAGCCTCTCGACTTTCGCTAGCTGCAGTTCTAGTCGAGCACTCCAGCGACCAGAGCAAAACCACCATGGAAGTGATAAATTGCGCTCAACCTCTGTAAATACTGTAGATTTCGTATGCCACACATATCTTCTAACTTTTGTTAAGCTTGAAGCTCGTTATACCGTTTGGGCTGTGTTTCTTTTTTTGACTTGTTCGAAAGTTTTCCTAGTAAACATTCCGAGTTTAGCAATATCGCTCGTTTCTTTCTTGTCATTACGGAATGTACTGAAACCAGTCGGCACGCCGGCTGACGCTGGGTGGCGCTCTTCTAGGCTATGGAATCCGGGCTTCCGCCGCCGCGTACCGGCTTCTTTTCATGTTTGGATACCTCATTCAGCTATCGCATTCTTTTTCTTTCAACCGTCACCATTGTCAACGCCTTCTTGACGGCAACTAACTACCTTTCGCACAGTAATACCGTCTTATGAAATGGTGGGCAGCGGTTTGATCAAGTGCAGGTGAGAGAGAAATGGGTTCAGCTTGAGCATGTCACAACATACAAGCAGTGGTCGACGAAGCTAAGCAAACATGGACAAGCTGGCGGGTATTATTAAATAAGCCGCGCCGCTCATTAGCAGCGAACGTGTATCTGGTATCAAACGACTACCCCGAAGACAGAGCGTTATCAACGAGCTATGACAGTCTAGGCAAGCTCAAAACTCCTGAAAATAGGTACCTCATGCTTGAGGACGACGCTCCACCCAGCTTGTGGGCCGGTCTATAACACCCGCCGATCACTACCAATCACTCACCACTCTCGCGCATCTTTTTCTCTTTTGCAACAGTTTTCTTCATGATCTCCAAGCTCACTCATGGTCAGATCAACCAGGAAATTTGGCAGCAAGCACCGCCCACCTCGAAAGCATTCCGCCTATTTTTGGTATGACTCCCCTTTTTTGTCCGCTAACCCCTTGTGGACCTCAATCCTTTTGTTTCTGGTGCTTGTGCTGTCTGCAACTGATTCGTGAATTTTTGACCTTCACCCGCCCACATCGACACAGCTCCGCACACAATGGGCGCGTAAATCTCGCTTCATAGCGGAGCTCCTGCACATCTTTGCTCGCCTTTGCCGGTGTCTGGAGTCTGTTCTGGAACCATTTTACAGATTTCTGCGTTTGGCTCCGCCCGCCTCGCCGCACGCTCCGCCCACAATGGATGTGTCTTGCACTCCCAAACCGGTGACTCCTCGCTTACCCAGTCCACTTTTTCCCCAGTGTCTGAAGTGCTCTGGAATCGTTCTATAAATTTTTGAGCTTGGCTCCGCCCACAAAGGGTGTCGACCGGTGGTCCCTTTCAACTACTATCCACTTTTTAGCAGTGTCCGGAGTGCTCTAGGAACTTTTCACTGAGTTTCTTTCTGACTCTGCCCACCTCGGAACAGGCTCCGCTCACAGCGAGTGTGTCCCATTCTCAAGCAGCGACCCTTTGCTGACCTCAATCTACTTTTTCCTGCCTTCTGAGCGTTCTCTCACCGTCCTACAGACTTTTCGCCTGGCTCCGCCCAAAACATGTGTGCCCCGCATTTATTGACCGGCGACCACTCGCTGACGTTACTTTTTTCGGGGCTCTGGAGTGCTCTGGAACCAAGCTACAAGTTTTTAAGAAGACCACCTAGTGATTGGGGGCAAGCTCCGCTCACTGTAAGCGGGTGTTCAGGCGTGAGAAACTCGCTAGATATCTGCCCTCCTTAACTGATTTCCCACTTCTAATTTCTAGAGATTAATTTCGTTTTTAATTTA